TAATTAATTAATTATAATTACATGGCAGCAGCTCAATGCCTTTAGGCATGTAGATGTGAAGTTTGAACTAGGCATCAAATAAGCAGTGTTCCTACAGCTTAAGGCAAGGCAAATTTAAGACTTTTTAAGACCTAATTAATGACACATAATGAAATTTAAGACCAAATTTACAACAAAACAAATGGAAAAAAAGCCAGTTACCAACAATTTTTGCCAAATATTTAAACAAAACGAACTGTAAGAGGCATTCGGTCAGTTATTTTAAAAAATAAATAAAAGTAACCAATTACTGTAATATTTGAGACYAATTAGTCATCCTACGTACAATGTATTAACATATTTAAGACCTCTGAAAGATTGATTTAAGACATTTTAATGCTAATTAAGGCCTTATTTTTGAATTGATCAATTCCTTTTAAGACTTTAAGGATCCACATGAACCCTGATAAGGGAAGAAATGCGATTTAATTGACTTTAACTATGGCTTGGTTGTTGGTATTTAAAGAAACTGATGATCTGCTGGGACTTATACACACAACCATCTCTATGGTTTACAGAGAATGGTCCAAATAATTTGTTGAAGATTTCCAGAAATTTTAGACTGGGACTGATGTCCATCTTCAAGTAGGACAGTGATTCTATCCCTCCATTTGTGTCCCTGCTTGTGCAGTTTTTGACAGGTTTGAACCTGTGACTCTGTCTTCTCTTCAGGGGCCTCATGCATAAAGGATTGCGCAGCTTTCACACTAAAAGTTGATGTATGGAAAAATTTAGAAAAGTGCGCCGCACCAAAAAATTCAGKTGTATAAAACTCTGCGCACGCATGCTTCTGCGCACCTTTCCTTTATACATCCCAACGACCGTGGAACTGAGRGCACGTGAGAAAACTCCACTGACACGCCTCCATATAAATATGTAAAATATATGTAAATGTGTCCAGCGCGTGATATTCTCCTCAGATTCCTCTCTGTGGGATCAGAAATGATTTTTAGATGGAGGAAAATTATACATTCAKTGGAGAATGAGTGAGAAAACTGTCTAAATAAGTAGTGGAGTGACATTGTTTTAAGTGGCGCATTCGCACAGGGTAACCAAAGCCTGAGATTTTCCTGAAATTTACAGACATCTCCTGAACGTGATGTTGAAGCCTGGTTAGTTGTTGTCTATTTAGTTGAACACGGCGTTGAATGGACGTTTAAAAAAAACAAAACAAAACAAAAAAAAAAAAACTATAAACTTCACGTTATCCACTTTTTCTGCTCTCCTTTGCTCCTGCGGCAGGCGCTGTCAGCTCCACGGACAGACCCCCACCTCAACGCCCACAAGTAGTAGCCTACGGATTTTTAGCAAAAAAATATAGATTTTTGAGGCTCATTAGACAGGTAAACGTCCAAAGGGGTTGACGCATATGAACACCTTCCCAGCTGGCGATGGGACTCAAGGGACTTGAGGATCTAAAGGCCMGGATGGCACAAAATGTTTTGAGTTTTAATGAAAACAAGACTGAGGCTATGGTTTTTCGAGGTACTGTTGGCCACTCCCCTGTAGATCTAGGTTCCTTGACTCAGTACAACAAATTGTTTGTGAGGAATTTGGGAGTTGAAATGGATCCTGAATTTAAATTAGACAGCCACATTAGGTCAGTTGTTAAAAGGAGTTTTTATCATTTGGGGCAGCTAGCCAAAATAAAACCCATCACTCCAAGAAGACATTTTGAGACAGTGATCCGTGCCTTTGTCACCACCCGGCTGGATTACTGTAATGCACTTTATCTGGGGGTTAGTGGGTCCTCCATTGCCCGACAGCAGAGGGTCCAAATTGCGGCAGCGAGGCTTTTAACTGGCACGTAAATATGACCACATTTCTCCCATTTTAGCTTCACTTCACTAGCTGCCTGTGCCTTTTAGGATCCATTTTAAAATACTTTTATTTGTTTTTAAATCTTTGAATGGCCTTGCCCCCACCATACCTGTAAGACCTGCTGCACCCC